TGTCCCAACCGCTTGATAATGAAGTGGTCATGTTGGTAATTAGACTTCTCGTTGGGTGTATAATGTAGTTTTGTGTTTATCTTTTTTGGTTTTTTCTTTTTTTGGTGAATCTGCATTTAAAAAGTTATAAAAGTAGTCCAAGATTATCAGAAAAAAATTCAAATGATACAGCAGTGCATAAAGTAAAAACAGAAAATGTCCCCTCCCCCATTCTCCTCCTAGGGACACCTCCCATCAACAATTTGGTGTGAACCGGACACTTTTTCTATGCATGCAAATACATCTGTATGCATGTTTTTAAAAAGTAAGTCATATTTTATAATGTTCTGCAATTTTCTTTTAATAATTTACAGTGTATTTTGGATATCATTCCATGTCAGTATATTTGGACCTTATCTTCTTAAGTTTACATAGTATTTCATTGCAGTAATTTGTTCAATCTCCTATTGTTGGGCACTTAGGTTGTTTCCAATTTTTCATGATTATAAACAATGCTACAAACATCCCTGTTTAATATATATATATATATTCACACACTTTTGTGAGTATTTCTTTAGTACACATTTCTGGAAATGGAATAGCCAGGTAAAAATGCATAGACATTTAAAATTTCGATAGATTCAGACAAATTGCTGTCCAAAGGGCTGTAGCTCCTCACCAACAGAGTATGGGAGTACTTATCTTGAGTTATGTTGAATAGCAGTGTAGCAAAGTTCTCAGCTGTTATAGTTACATGAACATGGTCTAAGTGTTGAAAGGGCCTAAAATCAATCAACAAGAATAAAGCACTTACCACATGTATGTTTCCTGGCCTCAAAGGTGTACAATTTATTTAGGAAAATAAGATATTTACACATAAAAACTGAGTCAAGAGTCTGTGGTGGATGCCACAGACTGAATGTTTGTGTTCCTGCTATCCTCAAAATTCATATGTTGAGATGTAACCCTTAATGTGATGGTAATGGAGGTGGGGTCTATGGGAGGTGATGAGGTCATGAAAGTGGAGCCCTCATGAATGGGATTCGTGCCTTTATAAAAGAAACACCCAAAAGCTCCCCTGCCCCTTTCTCCATGTGAGGACACAGCAAGAAGGCGCGATCTACGAACCAGGAAGTGGCCCCCCATCAGACATCGAATCTGCCCATACCTTGACCTTGGACTGCCTTGCCTCCAGAACTATGAGAAATAAATTTTTATTATTTTTAAGATACCCAATCTATGGAATTTTTTTATAGCAGCCTAAATGGACTAAGATAGTGGAAAAGATCTTTTCAAGGGAACTCCTTTGACAGTGAGTACTAGAGGGATTCTCTGAAGGGTGGAGCCTTGGATGGGGGAGAAGCAAAGGCAAGCATTAAGGAGGGGGTACAATGAAGCTCTGGATCTTAAAACAGACCAGGACTTTCATAGGTAGAGCCAGAGAGGAGAGTACTGTGTTCCGTGTTTGAAGAAAAGCTTGGGTGTCATTTGCATGTAGGACAGTGAATGGCATTGAGGGAACAGTGAGTAGAATTAGCAGGTAGAGGAGCTGGAATTTAAATCTGGGTGGTCTGCCCTCAGAGCCTGTGCTTATAACTAACAAATGGCAGAGCGAAGAGAAAAAGAGCTCCTTCTGTAGATACTATTTTATAACCTGTTTTATTTTTCCGCAATATAGCTTGCACATCTTCACATGTCAACTACGTATCGATGCCATTGTAGTAGGATGTGCCATAATTTAGCTTGTTCTGCATCAATGGCCATTTGGGAGGATTCCGGTGTTTTACTATGACAAATAAAGTTCTGATGAACATCTTTGTTCATATGACTTTGAGCACACAGATGCTGGGTTTGGAATAGGGGAAAGGGAGGAACTCTTCCTCTCTCATGGGCACTCCTCTCTGGGCCTAGACTTTGATGAGCAGAGATATCTTTGAGGGAGGTCCTGGGGTGAAGACTAGGATGGACTCTTCTGAGCCTTACAACAACCCCCGTACCAGGCCACAAGCTTAAGGTAAGTACATTAGGACTTGTGAGCTGGAGGCCCTAGTCTCATATTACTCTTTATTTTCCCTTAGATTTCAAATCTTATTTAAACATTCCAGCTTTGTACTGGCTCTGCCATGTGGTATTAATGAAAGAGTCTTATATCCATGTCTGGACTGCGTATTAGAGGAATCGAGCAGCAATCCCTCTCAAGGGGATGGTGTGGTAAGAGCAAATAGCAATCAGTCACTCCAGGAAAGCCGGATCCCAGTGGACAAGAGTGAGGGCTGCAAGCTTAGTCTGACTGCCTCCCCACACCAAGATCCTCCTGCTGCTGCTCTCCTCAGGCTCTGTTTTTATGGAGTCCAGGTACTATTTGCTACTGGCATGGACTATAGGGGCAGCAGCAGAAACAAAGGGAAGGATTTGGAGACACGGTAGAGAAGGGATCAGTAAGACTTGCCATCAGACATAAGGGAAGAGGAACAGTCACAGATTGTCGTGAGGTATTAGGCTGGGTAGCTGCGAGAATGGTGGAGGGTGAGAAACAGAAACCACAATCTTGGGAGGAACAGCTGGTTTTGGAGAAAATGCTAAGTTCAATTGTCATCATGTTGAGTTTGAGGTCTCAGTGAGCAATAATATTCCTCCTTGGTTGCTTGAGAGATTGAAACCCACTCACAAGCAAGCAAGCGAGCATGCAAACAAACACAAAACCCAATATATTCTGAACATCCTCACCCCAAATCTTCATCACAACCTTCTTCTGGCCCTTTCTCCTTACTTTACCTGTCCCTCCCCAAATAATTTCCTCTCTTCCCATATTTCTAAGTGTTTCATCATTGCCTATGCTCTTTGCCTAGTCTGGCAAGGATAATAGCAGCTCCCTTTTTCAAATGCTCTGCCTCACCCTTTTAGAATCCTTGACAATCTGCTAGCATTTTGGTCCTACTCAACATTCTCTACTCATCTCCTAAGGACTTTGGGGAATCTTGCTGGCTGTGCGCGCTGTCTCCCAGAGAATGAATGAAGTGAGCTTTCAGCTGATGCTTCCTACTTTAATCTCGGCTGGCCCAAAGCAGCTGTAGAGGGAGTGGCAGATCAAACCTACCTTATCCTGTAGAGGGAGTGGCAGATCAAACCTACCTTATCCTGCACCATTTCTATCCCTATCATGAGGCCTTTGCCTCGGATGTCTCCAATAATTTCGAACTCATCCCGCAGCTTAGCAAACTTCAGTAACATGTAGGTACCAACTTCTTGACTGTTTTCCTGTAGATTTTCTTCTTTAATCACCTGTTGAGAGAAAGCCTCAGATGACCTTACATGGCCAAAGTTCTAAGATTGACCGACAAGTGTGGGGAGGTAATTGTACATGACCTTATTTACAGTAACTTGACCAAAAAGAACCCAGGACAAAGTCTAGTGTGGCCACACCATGGACTACAGAAAGATTTATTTTAAGGAGAAGAAAAGTCCTAGTATAGGGGATTCCCCCTGCCCCATACTAGGACCGACAGGGGTGGGTAAGAATTTAGGAAAGAGTAGAGAGTGTGTCTCCATGCACTTCCACTATTGCCAGGTTTTGCTGAGAACTGGAATATAGCGTGAGTAAGATGAATACTCTGAGGAACGAAATATCACAGGTGCTTTCCCTACTGGAGGACCATGACCTTAGGAACCAAGACAGAGGCTGTCATAGCCCTAGCACCCCAGTTTGGGGCCCAGCCTCTTTAGCTGAGCCCAGAGCCCAAGAACCTGAAGACACAAAAACATTTTCATCTAAGTTCTATTCACCACAGACACTTGTGATTCTTGACAAGACACATCAAATATACTACATTTATATTTAGCTTACAATAATTGCGTGACCCCAGGCAAACCTTGATGTTTTTAAGACCTATTTGTTCTCTTAAATCTTCTCTACCATCTAAATTGGTTGAGGTCACCCAGCACTTAAAAGAAAAAGTTGGCAATGTCTACAAAATGAAATAGATGACACATTCCCACCCACACTTTCGTATCTCATGATTTGATCATATTTGGAGATAACTAATTAGTAAGGACAGCTTTTACTTATTTATATTTATTTAAAAATATTTTTACATTTAATTTTTTTGAATAAATAAATCATGTTCATGGTTCAAATATCAGCAAGTATAAAAGTGTACACAGCAGAATGACTCCTGCTTAACTCAGTCCTTGGCCACCAAGTTTTCCTTCCCACAAACAACCACTGCTATTAATTTCTAGGACATTCTTCTAGAAATGTGTTATATAAGCAAATGCTATTATGCATATTAGCAAGAACATTTAAAAAAAGATCTTTTTCAACAGATGAGACCCCAGGCTAAATCAATGCAGTAGGGCCGAACAGTTGCTCACAATAGCTGAATTACCTTGTTGTAATCAGATAGAACCAAGTCTCTTCTTTGTCATTCAATTTCTGATAGTACAACAAAAGGAAGGAAGAAAAAAACACAGAAGACAGGGCCAAAATTAAGCTAAAAACAAAGATAGTACATAGCAAAGAAATTCAAGTGCTACCATCTGGCTAGGGGAATTCTTGTATTTCCTATACATGTGAGGTTTATTATGTATTATTTCTTACTCAATACTTCAAGGATCCAAAGCAGGTCTTACAAAAGAGGGAAGGCAGAATAATAACTGGAAATCTAGGTTAAATGGATACATTATTAATTAGCTTTCCACTTTAATAATGCAATATGATAACGTGGGTGTGGTTTTGGAATAGTCGTTTGGTGAAATGAGTGATGTTAATGTGGCTGCTGGAACCAACCTCAAGCACCGCAGATCCAATGGCACAGGCCACGGGGTTCCCTCCAAAGGTGTTGATGTGAAGAAAACGTTTAGCCAAAGACTTGGCAATCTCTAGGGGGAGAAAAATTAAAGTGAGTCAAGAGTGATAATGGATATTATGGACTAAAGTTTCTCCTTGAAATGTATATGTTGAAATCCTAACCCTGAATGTGACTGTATTTGGAGACAGTGCCTTTAGGGAGGTAATCAAGGTTAAATGAGGTCATAAGGGTGGGGCCTAATCCAATAGGACTGGTCTCCTTATAAGAAGAGGAAGAGATGTCAGAGCTTCCCCTTTTTCCCCCTCCCTTTCCCCCTCCCCCTTGTGCACACAGAGGAAAGGCCACAGCCAGAAGGTGGCCATCCGCAAGCCCAAAGGAGAGGTCTTGCCAGAAACCAACCCTGCTGGCACCTGGATCTCAGACTTCCAGCCCCAGAACTGTCAGAAAATACGTGTGTATTATTTAGGCTACCCAATCTGTGGTTTCTTGTTTTATCAGCCAGAGCTGACTACCATGGATAAGGAAAAATAGCTTATTTACTTGATGAGAAGTTTGATAAAATCTTTAATGTGTTTCCTGTTTCCTACTAGAGAAAAAAATCTTTAATGTGTTGTATGAATTGGGAAATACCTTAAATTTTGATTATGGAAATTTACATGGAACCTTCAATTAGCTAAACCTTTTTTTTCTGAGTTCTACTCCAGACTAAAAAGGAAATGTCAAGAAAACAATCTCATATCAAGGATTTAGTTACATAATTTCTGGATTGTTTCAGGGTCAGTACATGTTCAGTTCATTATACTTCACTTTTTCATCCACTTTTTTGTACCTTTATTCATTTAATAAAAACACTGAGATATCTACAAGGTATTTAATTAGACCTCTGCAGTGTGCTTAGTATTGGTGGGAAAAACAAACAAAATAATTTTAAGATTTTCAAAAATAAATGATTCATAAAAAATTTCTGTCAAACCTCACTAAAATGGAAAAGACAGCTAATTCTCATGTTCATTTCATAGAATGTTCTGGATCAGTGAAATATTACTGTATTTGGCTGTGTTGTTGATGAGAAATCTGTCACTGGGGACCTTGAATCTATAGCTTATTGGTCCAGCAAGACCAAGAAAGTCTTTTTCAAGAATACGATTCCTTTCGAAATTTCGGAGTTGGTTTTGTACTATATTTTCCTATACCTCATCCGTGTGGTGGAACCCTGCATTTCGTTGTGGGGATGGGAGAAGTAGTCTGCCCTACAGCAAGATCAGAAAGGGCTGGCTTTCTTTGATCTGTTCCACAATCTGGCAGACAGGCTGTTTCTATTTTTTATTTGCTTGGGAAATGCATCATGTAGTTCCTGTCCCTGTCCCTCCAACCCATAAAAGTTCCAGCACGTGTATTTTATGCCACAGCCAATGCAGGGGGCCCAGAAACAAACACAAATTGCCCATAGGTCTTACCTGGAGTCGTCACAACTGCTGCCATGGGAAAGCCATTCCCAATCCCTTTAGCCATGGTGACAATGTCAGGCAGGACGTCATGGGTTTGGAAGCCCCAGAAGTGAGAACCCAGCCTTCCAAATCCTGTCTGCACCTGAGGAAAACAAATTCAAAACCATTGGAAATCTTTCAAGAAATGCTGTTTTCTCTCTGTTCTCTTCTGTGTCCTCCTTTTCCTCTTCCTCCTCCTCTTCCTCAACATCGTCATCGTCAGCCATCATCCTCGCCATCCTGCAGTATCATGAACAAAGTGCTTCATTTGAGCTTTTAGGCATCAAAAGCCATTTACTAGCTTTGTGTGATTCTGGAATTGTTTCTTAAATCCTTTAAACCTCTGTTAACTCACCTGGTAAGTAGAAATACTAATAACAATACATTCCAAGGCTCTGTGAGGGTCATATAAATAAAGCATGGGAAAGGGATTGTTATGATTAACAATCTTTAATAAGCATCCCCTGTATGTAAGGCAGCAAGGCGGAGAAGTGGACAAGCTAAGTCTGCCCCAGGCTGAAAGAAACAGGAGCTGGAGCTCAGGCACTTGCCGTAGCCCAGACAGATGTCATCCTCTTCCCAGGGGTGCCCTCCTTTCCCTGAGAACTGCATTGCAAGGAAGACCCAGCTGAGCCAGTTGAACTTCTCTAATCTAGAAATTGTGGTGATTTGGACTAAAAGTTGACCTTAGGTTTTTTTTGTGTGTGTGCCTGTTGTTCCCTTTCTCTAGAAGACCCTCTTCCTGCTTCTTCATCTCACTAACTTCTTCTGTCCTTTGAAACATGACTTTGTCATCAGTTGGTCTAGGAAGTATTTCCTCAGCGCTAGTAGGGCTCCCTCGAGAGGTACTCTGGGCACGTTGCCATCGGAAGCTTTCACCATGGGCTGTCATCACAATGTGCGTGTGTCATTCCTCTGTCCACGACACCTAGCAGAGAGCCTGACACAAAGTGGACCTGTAGTGAGTGTTTGTTGAATGAGTGAAGGAGTGGCAGAAGCGCCTAACTGAATAGAGCCACACAGACATGTCCACGCACATTTCTGTCCTTGGAGAAGTCTCCTTGATCTCTTTCGGGATCTTAGTTTCTTCATCTGTCTGTCTCTCTCTACACATCCACCTGATGCAGGGCGGGGATGATGGCCTGGGAACTTGATGCTGTTTCTAAAATGCACTTAGAAGGGCAAGTTTCCTTCTCAGACTCCCTTCTCATTTTCCCTAGGCTGCTGCAGCAAGGGCAGATTCCAAGGGTTAGAATTAGATGACAGTGACCAATCTAGGAGAAGGGCTTAGACGTCGGAATTGGACAGACCTGGGCTTGAATCCTGGGTCTCCTACTTCCTAGTTATGGGCCTCTGGGCAAGCCGGTTGATTTGCCCAGATAAGATAATGTGGGGAATTGCTATTGGAAAACTCATCTATTTTTGTCTTCCTGCCCATCTTCCCTTTTCACTGCATCTGTCTAAGTGCCATAACTAAATGGTATAAATGGTGACAAATCAGATTTCTTGGGCAATGCATGAAATTATGTAGGACAGTAAACCATGCTGAGTCACCTAGGAAGCATCAGTTTCATTGACTCTTACAGTAGGTCAGAGATGGATCATTCTACGGTCCATAAACTGGGATGAGGGGCACATGTTAGGGGGAGAAGCGGACTGGGTCATGACAGTGAGCAGACATGGGGACTGTGGGTGTACACGCCCTGTCTAAACACAGCCAATTACAAATTCAAAATTAGTCTATGCCAGACCAGCATAGACTGGCTGCCCAGTATGATCCCAGAGGCTGCCAATTTTCTATCTTTGATTCCAAATTCCTCATTTTAAAAAAAAGAATGCGTGATGGTTAATTAAGATGACTTGGGTAAGAGCATTCAATGGCAGGATTGCATTCTGTCATCTAAGAGGGGCAGTTTGGTACAATGGTTAGTCATGTGGTTTTGGGAGCCTGAGTTTGAGTCCCGGATCTATCCCTACTAACTACATGACCCTGACAGGTGACTTAACCATCTTGGACTTAAATTTGCTGATCTGTAAAATGGAAGTAATGACAATGGGGCATATCTTATAGAATTGTTATAGGTATTAACTGAGCTAATACACACAAAGAATTACAAACAGTGAGACGCACAGTAAACGCTCAGAAAATTCTTATCTTTACCTAGTCATTTGGACCGTCCTTCTTAAGGTTACCCTGTGTTAGAGAGGTTCCAATGACATTTTTGGGAGTCATAAAATCACATATCTTAGAAAATTCTGAAATTCATCTTTCTTTGAATTCATCCTACTTTTCCTCTAGTTAGTTGGACTGTAGCAGCTTCACAATGTGCTGATTCCAAGGCCAAAGTTTATCCTCTTCACTGATGTGGCTAATTTTAAACTGACTGAATATATTTTTCATCTTTTTAAATGGCAGATTGATTTTCTTCAGCTAGGACTTTGATTAGTTTGCCGGCAGGTTGGGGACAGGAGGATGGGCATGGCAGGAAGAAGCCAGCCTGAGCCTCATGCAGGGGTCAAGTGCACCCCGGGCAGAACAGAGACCTGGCCGTGTGTGAAGAAACTGCAAAATTTCTGCTGAGAGGGCAGCCCAGCGTCAGCTGTGGGGAATTTTTAGTGGAGAAAAATTGTTCAGGTAAAGATGGCAGGACTGAAACAGGTAGGAAACATACTTACAGGCTCTTTATAAAATTAATAAGGGGCCCAAGGTGGGAACTGAGGAAAGGGAAATATGTATATAACCAGCCACTATTCCCTAGCTTGCTTTCCTATAATTGCTTGCTACTCAGGAGTCATAACGCTGATGGTCACGAAGATTCTTACCTTTCTTCATTGCTCCCATGGATAGCATCATCCTCGCGAAACCTAAGGCTAATTTTTGAGATATCTTCCAGGCCCTGCATTCTGGTGGAACAGCTGAGCCACCCAGACCAGCGGCCCACACAGAGGAATTGACTCAGCTGGTACTGTGACCCCCCACCCAAGAACCAACTCAGCAAAGAAGACAATTTCTACACCCCCTATGATTCTGGCCTGAACCCAGCCAATTAACAGACCCAATTACCTAGCCTTTTGCCACCAAACTATTTTTAAAAACTCTTTTTCCCAAATTTTCGAGGAGATGGATTTGAGAACTTCTTCCCATCTCCTCGCATGGCACCTATGTTATTGAGCTCTTTCTCTGCTGTAGCCCCTGCTGTCTCAGTGTACTGGCTTCCTCTTGAGCAGCGGGCAATGAACCTGGTTGGGCTGTAACACTGGTAGGTCTAACCACCTGTCTACAATAATCATAGGTCACCCAGCAATGAGCCAGGAAGATTTCTAAGGCCCTTGTGACCATCCACTGGTCTTTTGATCTCCATAGCTATTTTCAGTAGACAAAGGCTTTCTTTGATACGTTCTAATATAAGGTGTAATTATAAGTAAATTGACCTCTTTTAAAAACACACAGGCTAGAGCTCATACAGCCACTGAATTTTATTTCCTTCAAAGTAGTCCCCTTGGCAGGTATTGTGTGTTTATTTCAACAATGCTGCCTCAACTCAAGCTACTTAACAGTTTTTTAAGAACTATTTCCAAATACGGCAATAGTAGCACTCCTCTACTTTAGAGGCCAAATTACTATTATTATTTTTAAAATATCATTTCCAGGCAAGGTTTGTCAGAAAAGTATATGCTTCCAAGTTACCTAATACAATTTTGGCAAAAATTAAGATGAAAACTTGGTTATGAGATTAAATTTTCTATGTGGTTTCTCAGCTGTCCCTGAGGCAATCCCCAGAAAGGAAGGTAAAAAATATGTTGAGTAGTGGTAGTGTCACCTGTGCCTGTTAGCAACTTATTTGCTAGGCATCGGTTTGGATATTTAAGTTCTGATGTACTTGTTAAGCTGACTAGCTAGTGTACTAACCAAACAGCCAACTAGCAAAAGCTTCATTAATTTATAGCCACACTTCAGAATTCATACACTAGATGCTTTTTGCCTGGAATACAGAAGAGGGTTTGGTCTGTACTTTTCCTGTTCCCTTGCACTAAATTGCAACATTTCATGGCCACTCACTTCATCTGCAATGCACACGCCTCCCCTCTCTCGCACCAGCTTGAAGGCTTCCTTTAGAAACCCCTTTGGGTACTGGACAACTCCATTCACACCCTGCAAAACACCAAACCAAGAAGACCTATAATAACAGCACAAGTCTTTTCAAAGTATCATATTAAAAAACAAAAGCATCATTATCATGATAGTAAAACCAGTAATTCTAAAAACAGTCTGCAGAATGGTTTCAACTATGGGTGAAAGAAGGGCCATTATTCTTATGTCATGACTTCTGGAAAAAGGATGCAAATATTTATTCTTTTCTGAGATTAGAAAACAGTACAATAAGGGGACTTGGTAAGATTAAAGAAAGACTCCCCCTGAGAGTGTGAGCATTAAGCAGCTAAACTTTCCTGGGGTTTCCTTTTCTTAAGAATTTAAGGCATTCAGTAGTTTCGTCTACCTATCTTGTCCATGTGGGAATGGAAGCGAGGGTTTTTTAAAGTTAAATTGAAAATCAGGGCCTTTTGTTTTTTTTCAAGGAGACCAGAAGAATGAATTGAATTTGGAGAGGAACACAGCAATGAACACTTAATTAATCTGGAATTATCTAGAATGCATGAATTGAAACTCTCTGATAATTGAAGATTCAGCTCAATTTTGTTTAAGGTTCATGTACTTACTTGAATTGGTTCTGCAAAAAACCCAGCAAGTGACTTGGCTACAGAAGTGTTCAGAGTATCTTTGAACTGTTCAATATACTGGTCTTTAGCTTGGCAGCAGTCTGCAAAAAATGAACCACAGCATTTGAGCTGTGAGAATGACATCCAGAAGCATGAGGAAAAGCACAGGAAAAAGAATAGAAAACAAGATGAGTAAGTTGATTAGAGACCTCAGAATATAGTAAACTAGGAGAGAAGGATATGCATTGCTGAAGGGGAACATTCTGTCCAAACAACTTGTACTTTGGTTCAAGGAGGGACATTAGGATAGTCATGGGGGCATAAATAAACCACTTCAATCATTTCCATCTGGGGAAGAAATGCCCAAAATGTCATTGAGTCTGGAATAGATAGATGTTTCATCTAAGGATACCCATCCTCCCAAACTAGTGGGTTTCATTCAAAAGTAATTGGAGTAATTTAATCTATTTGAAAATAACTCTATTATTACCTTTTATTGCCATTTAATCTGATGTGCAATTTTAAAGCTACAAAGTATCTCCATCTTTAGAGTTAGTAAATATGTTTGTAGAAGAAATAGAATTCAGACTAAAGAGGAATGTGCTAGAGCCAGGTAATTTTCATCCATTGCAGCCCTTGGCACTTGGACCTGTGCTTGTTTTTCTAGGTCTTTCTCCCTTTAACCGAGAGCTTTTGTGGGCAGGAACTATGTCTTGTTCAGTTTTGGAATGTCTGTGGCCAAACTGTCTGGTATGTTGTAGGTGCTCAGTAAATGTTTAATGAATTAAGAGGGCAATAAACAGTAGAAATTGTGGCTGGTGTGAGACATTGAGCAATTTCACTTCCAAGTCTTTCTTATAGGGAAACGGAGTAAAGTATCCTAATTCAAATGATCTGTCTTTAATATTAAATACATTAATTCTATTTTTTCTACCTGCCGATAAATGTACCTGCTGAGTTTTAAATTTCAATTATTTTTTATTACTAGACGATATATTTGTTTTTGAAACTTGCTGTGCCATTCTTTATAGTTTCTTATTCCCTGCATTTATTTTTAAGCTTATAGTTGATTTTCTTTAAATGTATTAAACATATTCATTTTATAGTCTATCCGATAATTCTATTGTTTGAAATCCTTATGGGTCTTTTTCTTGATTGTGGAGTTCTGTTTCCTTGTTTGTTCGTTAGGTTTGACTAGGAGTGGCTTAATTTCCTTGGAATTTCATTTGTGAGACTTCTTTGAGGCCTAAATGAGGTAGGTTCCTCCAGAGCATATTTGCATCTGCAGCTCCCAGGCCCATAGAGTGTTACCAGTCTAAGATTCCACCAAATTATCAGCTTGAGGTAGTGAGTTCAGAATGCACAGCCTTGTAGGGCCAGCCTGGAGTTCAAATTTTCAGTGGTGGTTCCTCCCAGAGATGCTCAGGAGGCTTGCCCAAGCTCCAGAAGCCTCCACATGTGTGTCAAAATTGGAAGTAGGAACCACCAAGGAAGCAGGACCAGCAAGAGTAAAGAAGCCTTCTATTCTGGAATACCCAAGGTCCTAGGCCAACAGCATCCATATATGACCCAACCTTCAGAATTTTTTTTTTTTTTTTGAGACAGAGTCTCACTCTTTTGCCTGGGCAAGAGTGAGTGCCATGGCATCAGCCTAGCTCACAGCAACCTCACACTCCTGGGCTCAAGCAATCCCTCTGCCTCAGCCTCCCGAGTAGCTGGGACTACAGGTATGTGCCACCATGCCTGGATAATTTTTTCTATATATTTTTAGTTGTCCAATCAATTTCTTTCTATTTTTAGTAGAGATGGGGTCTCGCTCTTGCTCAGGCTGGTTTCGAACTCCTGAGCTCAAACAATCCGCCCGCCTCGGCCTCCCAGAGTGCTAGGATTACAGGCGTGAGCCACCGCGCCCGGCCAACCTTCAGAATTTTTATCCACACCTGTAATTTGGTTCTCAACAGCACCACCCAGTCTCTGTACTTAAGCCCATATCCATGAACAGCAGAAGGAATGCAGAGGAAGATGTGGATGGGATGGGAAGCCCCAGCCCCAGTGACAGTGAAAGTGGTCTGGGAGGGGAGTTACCACCTGCCATCCCGACACTTGCCTAGAGACACAGATTTAACCCTGTCTCCTGGAGGCTAGACATAGGGAATAGAAACCTTCAGCAATATCACCATCCCAACTGAAGCACACATATGTTTTATACTTCAATTCTTCATTAAAAAATGCAAAAAACACTACCTGGCCCCAAACATCTTTTTAGGTTACACGTGATATTGGAGGAAGCTTGACTGACAGAGATTCCTGATATCTGTGGTTAGTTGTAGGTTGTAGGTCGAGGGGATGAGAAAGAAAGTAATAACAAAGATATCAAACCCAGAAAGTACGGTTTTAGCATCACTTATGCTGTTTCAATGGGAAGAATATAGTAGACAAATAAATCTATGCCTCTGAAGATTGAAATTCCCTATTTTAATTAGGAAAGAAAGAGAAAATGGCCTGAAATGACCCTAAAGAATGGATCAGACATGTTTGAAAGGCATACTTTGGAAGTTTAACAGGCTCATTTTTAACTAGTGAAATTAAAGAGTGACACAAAATAACTCCAGTGGTTTAAATTTTGACAAAACCAAACCAAAAGGTTATGCTTGAACCTATGCTAGACCTTTCAGGATTTTCTCGCCCATCTGTCCACATGTTCAGCAAGGAGAGGGCCATTTACTGTGATGAGCTTTTCCCCTGATTTCACGCTTGCTTCACTGGCTGGTTGCTGTAACTGCGGGTCAGGCCACCTCTGCAGAGAGACACACTGCATTGGTGTCTCCATGACAACCCCAAAGTGGGTAGAGAGCTGGTGCTCTGCTGGATACAACAGAGTGGCTATGGAAAAGTTTATTTCAGCTGGTGGTGCAGAAAGAGTTAAGCAGAGTGAGGAGCTAAGAAAGAAAAACAACATTTAAGAAAAAGAAAACTTTCCTTTCCAAAAGGAGAAGAATAACATGATTGGTAACAGATTTGGGGCAATGAGAAGTGAACCTCTTCATGGGTTACATCTGAAATTCAGGGCCTGGGAAGAAAAATTCCTGGGGAGATGGATGGAGTAAGACAATGAAATCTACCATATAAGCATCTCTGCTAGACTCACAAAATACCCCCCTGCCTATGCTGGGAGTGATGACATAATTCTGAGGTGGAAAAATCCCCCTTCCACAGTTGGTTAACTGTGCACCCAGTGAATGAACCTAAGAGGAACTGAGAACTGGAACCATCTGTGTTCAAAGTACTTTACATGTTGGGCTGCTTGGGTAAACATATATGAATTTACCCATTTTATAGCAAGGATCAGATACTTCTCAGGGCCTAAAGGCACCGGAGGAGGCAGGAGTCCTTTTTTGTATTCCAACCCTGTTTAAAGATATGATAACCAGTCTTGTCTCTTAAAGATGTGAGTTAAGAAAACAGCTGACTTCAGATATGCCAAAGACAACAGTTCAGAGGAGCAGAAATGTGTGTCTGCCACTACTATTTAGCTTCCAAATGCCACTAGAGAGACGACCATGGGGTTCTGGCATTTTCAAGTTGGTCTAAGGCAGAGAAGTCCTCAAAGAGGGAGGAAGAAGAGAGGATGGAGGGAGAGGGGCACATAGCAGGGAGGGAAGGAAGTGACCATCTCTTGAGTGCTTTTGTCTACTAGCCCCTGTGCTGGAGGTTTGCAGTCAGACAGAGGCCCGAGAGGTGCCTTCAAGTGATTTTAGTTCTTGATGCCATACACTTATGATACTCAGATTTGGCTTTGCTGGGCATTGCTGTAATCTGCCTTCCTCTACACAAAGCTCTCTCTCCTTGATCTCATGAAGCATTGAGAGGGGGTTGTGGGGGCCAGGTATTGCTGTCTTTGTTTTAGAAATGAGAAAAGAGAAGCAGAAGGTGGAGCTTTTGCTCATAGCGGAATCATGGCAGGGCTGGGAGTGGAATCCAGACCTTCTGACCTCATGCATCTCCTCGATCCTGGCCATCGGAGCAGGAGTTGCTTTTCAGCTTGAATTCATTCTGATGGCATGTCAGGGTGAAGTAGGGCGGTCCTAGGTATTGGGAACACTGGCTTTGGAGGCAGAAGACCTGGGATCAAATCCTAGCCCTCTCATCCCTGATGGAGAGTTTGAATTATAGCTTTAAACTTCCTTCTGGTTTTAAATTCTATGACCGTGACAGCTTGTCTTGTTCCAATGCTTGTCTTTCATCTTTCTACCTCCATTTTGCTATTATCTCATCAGAATTTTAAGATTGTGAATTTTCTTCCTTTCAGAGCTGATTTTTAAGACTTCCATTCTGAATTCTTCCTCTCAACCCAGTGACTCATACTATTCCATTAAAACCCTTTCGGCTGGAGCTTTTAGTTTTTTCCTTCAGAACTACTTAGGGGCAGCTTTTCAAAAGGTCCTGTGTTATGATGACAACTCTGCAGCAGGGCTTGCTGATTGGCAGGGAACAGATGACGTTTCCATGCCTCCTCTTCCCCATGTTAAGCATAGGTAAAGAATGCAAATAAAAACATGACTGATACACAGAAGTTTTCCTTGTGGGAATGTCTGTAAAACTTTTACAGTTGTCAGCAGCCTTCAGGGATGGTGGCCTTAGGTTGTGACAGACGCTGTCATTTGGCTGGCTTTCTGAGTCCCTGGAGAACTTTTTGACTGGAGTTTTGAGATTCCCAAAAGTATTTATTTCTATCCTTCCTCTTTCCATTGGGAATTGGTAAATTATCCCACCCATCTTGTTTTCTTATAAAATTGATATCAGAGCTACTGCTAATTGAGCTCTTTTAATTAAATACCAGATGATAGTCTGTTTTTTAGCTTAGCTCCGATAGCCTGAGGTGCTTTTCCTGCGTGGCCAGAAGGATGGTCTGAGAATGAAATGATAGTGGGCATGAGAAGTGTTGATTCAACCAGGGGTCACTTGGCTACTTCCTAGTTTTGCTTCCTTTGGCTTTTCTTTTTCTCGTTTTTTTCAAATTCAATTGTTCACGCAGGGATGGTTCTGCCTTTATCCATGTTCCTGATGTCTCTGACCTCCCCCTCTGTCCCTCCCTCCCTGCCCAGTCAGACCTGGTGCACAGCTGCATTTCCTAATTGTTTGCACTGGAGAATCTCGACAGTGGCTTCCACCCCAAGGGCCACGAAAAACATCTGGGCACATTGTCTGCAAATGACAAAAGAAGGAGTTTGGTAACACATGGACACAAGCCAGCCAATGTGTGGGAGCATATGGCAGCAGTCAACTCAAGAGGGCTTCTTAATTTAGTCTTGAGATTCCTCCCTCCCCTCTTCTCCTGCTTAGGATGCAAATCTAATATTCTGCTTTGAAGAGATAATTTTTTTCTTAGAAATCAGTTATCTGGGCACTGTACAAAGGAAACTGATTTCGGTGTTAGCCCAGAAACAACTTGTTCAAGGGTTTGGTGGATAAGGGCATCTGAAAGAAGAAGAATAATTAGGTATCTGATTCTGATGCTGGAAAGGTGGGTACAGCAAGTGAGAACAGAAGGTGAGTACAATGATGACTCTATAGAAATTCTGTGCATTCAAGGTTCTCAGAACTTTGCACTTTACTTGGTTTCATTTAAAAGCAACGTAAGTTTTAAAAACCCTATCATTAATTATTACTCAGACTCTGAAGCCTTTTCTAGAAACATTTTCCCCAATGGTCTTCAATTCAATTGAGTCAAATTGAACCTCTGATTAATGACAGGCTTTATGTTAATTTCTAAATCCTAATGTCAGGAAAACCTGATCAATTCCGTGTACCCAGCAGACTTTAAAGAAACAAGAGAAAAATCCAAAAACTCACTGATTGGCACCCCATCCCACCGGGGAGTTCCATCTTGAAGATCCCTACGTTTGTCAAACCAAGTGTGTAAGGACTGCATCCGTGGTATGCTCCTCTGCAGAGAAAAAAACAGCAGGAGAATGGGGTTAAGTTCATTCTTCTTTGGTCGCTGACCTATGGACCACTGAGTAGGACAAAAGGGAAAATTCATGAAGGCATTCAATTCCGCTGGTTTCTAAAAACTCTTCTAAGCCTGTGTCAGGTGAATGTACTTATTTCTTTTCTACTGGTATCATAGATTTGAAATTGTGAAATTGTGAAATTTGAATTGTGAAATTGGAGATCATCTGGCCTGGAACTCTGACCTTAGGATCTACCCTACCCCATCATTCTGAAGTAATGAGACTCATCTCTTAGCAACATGTCAGAAATAACACGTTCAATAAGTACTAGTCTTCAAGGTAGTCACCTTGAGAAGCCAAATATTTTTTCCTATGATGTAGCTGTTGTTCACCATCTTTAGGGACTCCTCAAGTGCCTCATAAGCCACCTTATTTGGCTTATAAGAAACATGGGTTTTGTTTCTTTTGAACCCGAAACAGTTATCTTTAGTATAAATCATCCTGATCACTCACCAGTCTTGGTTTCAAATGAGTTTTGGCAATTTCCCAAATCAAAATCACCCTTAAGGATTTAGAACTATTCAAAAGACTATTCAAAAGAATGGTCATATAATTTGGAAGAGGAGACACAACATGTGTTGAACGCTCGTCATACCATGACTGCTTTGAACAGATCAATACTTATCTGGGCTTACGTATTCTGGAGTGTTATTTAGGCAAAACATCAATCACTATTCTTTATTGCCACATTTCTTTGATAGAAAATGTTTACTAACACCTGTAATAACTGCATGTTGATTTGATATGGAATGTGCAATATTAGATGTGCTGTAACAAGGATGAAATAAAATCTTTTGAATTTAGACAGAAACCATGGCCAGACAGATTAAAAAATGGGGCTGTTTCTTCATTCCATCAACTTTTACTCTAAGTCACTCCTGTCTTTTACATAAAACTTACAAGAGTCTGTTTAAATGTGCTGTATAAAATTACCCAAGAGAGGCAACTGTGAGCAAAATTCTTAGTTCTCTAATATTTTTAATGCTAATATAGCCTTCAAGGGCTTAATAATCTATTCAATTATCAGTTCTCAAAAGTCATCTAAAGAAGCAGAAATATACAGGGTTATACATGCATCCTCTGAACTTAAAGAGAATAAAAGGCCAAAAATGGGTGCAGCTGGCACTATGGAATAAATACATGGCTCCTTGTCAGAGCAGAAATTAAAATGTGCCAGTGCCATATGGCAGAGCCTTGATGCTCTGTGGATGTAGAGCAGTCATTTCACATTTGGCATATCTTGTAGTCCCTACCACACCTTCATGGTCAAAACATTGTCATGTGACCTCCTCCTTAAGTCCATAGGAAGATCTATGACATAACAAGAACTCCAAGTTTTTTGTGGCCAGTCAGGGCCCACTCTCTTGGACAGGTCAATTTGGATGGGGCTATCCAGTCATAAAATTCATTTGACTGATCCTGCCCTAAAACTTAATATTAGGAAAATACCCCTTGGAAAGCTCCTCTTCCCCTCCATGCTACAATTTAAAGGCACACATTTAGGATTGGGGTAAGTCAATGTTACCGAAGTCGAATATTCCAGGGCATGATTACCTGAAGGAAATGATGTCCAAGTTGTTTGAGTGTGCTCTGGCCATCAGCATAGCCAGGTCATTGGCTTCTGAGCCACTGTTCGTCAAGAAGATGACCTGGAGAGGACAGAAGATACATGGACTCATGCTTTAATTTATTTCCTTAGTACCTAATTCATTCAAAATTGCTCAAAATGTGTGCCCCAGGTCTGATTATTAAGGAGAGTTCCCATGAGGCCAATGTGGCTTACTTAGCTTCATCATTCTGTGAATTCTATGGCTCCTCCTTCATTGAGCCACTGTGAAGTGCTACACGTGCAAAAATGGCTGAGAGATTGTCTCAGCTGTGAGACATTCTGGGCTTTCATTTGTTTTATTTGATATTCTGCAAAATGCTAAGGTTGGGAGACTTGCTGAGGGGCACCCTGTGGTTAGTGGTTAAACAGCCTGAGGACCGAGGACTGGGTCTCAGCTCCTGAACCTAATCTACCCCACCTGATTCTGAAGGCTGGGGATGCGGCAGGACCCCTGGCCCTGGGGCTTGTCCCTGCCTGACTTTGCTGTGTGTGCGAATGTTGAAAAACAAGCCAACAAACAAAAAATGCAGCTCAGCCTGAACAAAAGAATGGGGAGAACTAAAGGGAACTGTGTCCTCTAGACTCTGGGGCTGGGAGGAATGTGTTTATGACTTTGCTGACTTCCCTGCTTCTGTCTTCCATGAACATCTGGGGCTGGACTCAGGTTGCAGCTATTCCAAGTTTCTTCATCTATTCTAGATAATATAGTAAATAGTGTATCTCGATAATATAGATAACATAGTAAAATAAGAGCAGTTAATGCCAGATAATGGGCACTGTTCTGGGTTCTTCATATATATTAATTCATTTAATGCCTAAATGCAAATTGTGGCCGACATTTTACCATTTCAGTTCCGTTTAAAAACTCAGTCATTTTTCAAATGCAAAAAAATCTCATTTAACAAAAAATATCTAAGTGTATTTTAGACCAAATGAACAGAATTGGCATTTATGAAAAAGAAAAGGCTCCACTCTTTGTAAAAGAAGAAATGCAAATGACTTTGCAGACAGACTATGAAGTAAAGAGATAAGAAATTTCTTGAGGGCATAGATGAGACCATCAGGAGGTCTGGGGCTCTTGGTAAGTGATTTCTGCAAAGACGTGGTGAGGAGAACGACCGAGAAGAGGCAGAGGCTAAGAAATGACACAAGTGAACCTTGATTTGTTTCACCAGCAATTCATAAATTCCCTTCTTCTATCTGATTGCTTTCAGATGTAGCTATCAGCTCACTGCTATGGGTGCACAATGCACAGATAAAAGTCTCTGCCCATATTCCTGCTTCCTAGGGCAACTCCCCTGGAATCATGAGTCTCTTGTCCCTTTGAGCTGGGAACATCGATCTTACCTTCAGAGGCTCAGGAAGAAGTGCTGAAAGCTTCTCTGCATATTCGTGCATTGGAGGGTGGAAGAAGAGAGTGCTGATGTGCCACAGGCGGCCAAGCTGCTTCTGTGCCACTGCGTTTACCTTCCTGCATGAGCAGAGGAGCAGAGTTATCCGAACCGCCCTCGGGCGCGTCCCTCCAACACACGCACTGGCCATTGAACGCAAACACATGGCTTTCTCTCAGAGTTTCAAGAGGCAGATTTCATCCACACATCAGAAAAATCTCTTCTAACCACTAGACGTGTCCAGCAATGGGATGTGTTGCCTCAAAAGGTAATGAATTCCTCACTGAGAAAAGGGTTCAAAGGGATTTTAAAAGGGAAATGCCTAGTTTAGGAGGGACTTTGGGCTTGAAATTTCTTCTAACTATGCTTTTTTTTTTTTTATTGACCATCCTTTGAACACTGGAAAATAGAGGTGATTGGCTATAAGCCTGAGTATCTTCTCACTTTGTTTTTCTAAAGAATTGTAAATTCATCAAGCACATGTATATAAGATCAATAGTTTTTCCCTCAAAGAAAATTCCAGTATCTGGGTCAGTGTTGATGAACATTTTGTAACTATGAAGCCACAGCCTTTGAAGGATTGAAGGTTCATACTGAGGAATAATGGAAATTAAGTGTAGATAGATATGTGGGACCCGACTGGGAGGGCCTTAAAAAGCCAGCCCGAGATGTTTGAGCTTGATCCAAAAGACAGCAATTGCTAAAGTTTGTTACGCAGCAATTCTGTTTGTTATTAATATCTTTTGCACCAAAAAAAAATCAGTTCAGTGGGTAAATAATTTTGAAAAGTACCAGATCAAACAGATTTCTTTACTCCAGGACTTGTTAGTACTTTTAGTAGGCTGACGTACACTGTTTCTCTCCAGCAGGGAGATATAGTTTAAAGTGTTTCCCAAACTTATTTCCTCACAGGACCCTTTTCTGTGGGAATGCTCTTGTGATAGTGTTCTGTGAAGCCCACTTTGGAAAATTGTGGAGTATCAGCAAACTCTTAAAAAGGAGAGATGCTTCACAAAAGCATGTTGAGCAAAATATGTCTGAGAACCACATGAGGCGTGGGATGGGGAAGGAAGCCTGGTAATGCAGACAAGCGAGGTGGACATGGTGGCCTTCCAGGTATGGGAGGAGACTGGTATTAGTGGGAATTAGTGGGAGAGGGGCTAGCAAGGGGGGCATTTTGGTGGAAGGGAAACTGGACTTTGGCATCAGGTTGGCTATAGGAAACGAAAGCGAGGAAGAGTCAAAGATGACTTCAACATTCTTGTCTGGAATACTGGGGGACGCCAGGATTAGTTGAGAACTGTGGCCAGTTGTCCAACTCCCCAGGTTTTAGCAGAGGACTTCCCAGCCTAGGAGGTTCATATGTGCTCTTTGAAGCAATGCACACATGAACAGAAACAGTTTTGTGGAGATGACAGATTTAGTCGTGGAAATGTTGAAGTTGAGCTGATGGTGGAATGTCACAGGGCAAGGGGCGTCCTAGATGGCAGTGGGAGATACAGGGCATCTGACCGCCCTCTCTGGGTCGTTAGAGGTGTTATTGTAGCTTGGCGGGGGGCCAAGCCTGAAGATGATGTGGAGTTGGGCAATGCTGTTGAAAGTAACCAGATGAGTAGCGGGGGAGGTGGGTGGCAACCATGCTATGGTGGGATGTAAGGGAGGAAAGTGGTCAAGAGAGAAAAGGTGTGGGCTAAGGAGGGAGCTGGGACACCCAGAGTCCCGGGGACAGATGGAGATCAGGAGAAGGACTGAGATAGTGAAAGCCAGCGCGAGTGATCTCTTAACGGGGGCAGTGTGACATGTTACTGGGAGGATTCAATGACAGCGTTTAAAATCATTCTCTACTCCATTTCTCCTTGCTTCTCTTATGTTTGTTCATCCTATGTTTTTTTTTTTTTTTTTTAGACAAAGTCTCACTTTGTTGCCCTGGCTAGAGTGAGTGCCGTGGCATCAGCCTAGCTCACAGCAACCTCACACTCCTGGGCTGAAGTGATCCTACTGCCTCAGCCTCTCGAGTAGCTGGGACTACAGGCATGCGCCACCATGCCCGGCTAATTTTTTCTATATATTTTTAGTTGTCCGATTAATTTCTTTCTATTTTTAGTAGAGACGGGGTCTCACTCTTGCTCAGGCTGGTTTCGAACTCCTGAGCTCAAACAATCCGCCCGCCTCGGCCTCCCAGAGAGCTAGGATTACAGGCGTGAGCCACCGCGCCCGGGCTGTTCATCCTATGTTTGAAATTGAAATAATCTGAAATTTATTTTCGATGCTCCTTGGGACCTTGCACGGGACTAGTGTCTCCGGAGACGGAGACAGCGGGGGTAAGAGAAGGCCAGGGGAGGAAGAAAGGAGGGCAGGGCCTGAGGCACTCCCTCCCCACCTCCTGACTCTACCTCCTGCTTTGACAGCAGGGCCCAAATCTATCCAATTTGTTTTAGACTTGCTGATTTATTTTCTTCCCACTTAGTTTGAGTTTTATTGGTCAGATTATTAAAGAAAATGAGATGGCTGCGCAGAAACCAAAAGAACCACAGGAGAACCCGCCAAAGGGCGTTTGTGCAGGTGAGTTGATGATCGATACTGTGGACAATTTGAAAATTAATGGATCAATACATTTCCAAGTAAATTTCCAGGATTGTGGGATTGTGTCTGTCTCTATCATACTTTTTTCCTCTTGCATCTCTCAGGGTCCACGAAGAAGATTGTCAGGCTAGAAATTACTTCTCCTCTCTCATCATCCCTTATCCCATATATCTGCCCCCTGTTTCTCTGGGAGCCACCCGCCTTTCGCTTCTGTCCCTGCATCCCTCTCTTCAGGAGGCTGTTGCTCATGAGAAGTGCGCACAGCAGCACTCTGGCCACATGGTACATGCCACAGTGCATGTACGATCAGGACGACAAACTCCTGCATTGTCAAGGAAAGAAAAAGTACAGGGTCAAGATTTTATACTCAGGAAATAGCGGGGAGTATGTCAGCCACAATCTGTAACAGACATTTTTTAACTGGGGTAAATGAATCAGGGGTTCTGAGTCACTAACATGATTCTTTTCCATATATTCTTCTGGAATTAAAATCCTGGGATTTTAAGGATACTCACGGGTGGCAGTGACCGACACTGACAGTGACAATTCCGGAAAAGAAATCCAGGTATCTGTTTCCCTCAGAATCAAATAGCCACTCCATGCGCCCCTGGTGGAGCAGCAAGGGCTTCTGGAAGTACGCTGTTGCCATAGGAGAGAGATGTTGCTGGTGGATCTCCAGGACACGGTCGTAGGCAAGGGACTGTAGACAAACAAGATTTTAAATCCCTTTTCCGTAACTCTACATTTCTTACTAGGTCGTCAGCAGTCAGTTTAACAGGCCTAGTCTCTCTAGTGAACTGCCCAGGGCGACGCTGCCCCAGAGAGGCTCACAGGTGGGTGTACTCACCCACCTCCCTCCTTGCAGGGAGTTAAAGCCCTTCCTCCTAAGGAGGGGAAATTATTATTTGCAGCCTTTCAGGCCCTTTCTAGATCAGATACGAAGAAAGGGGCTGGAGTTTCTACCTCTCAATGGAAAGCCTTGGCTTTGAATTGATTTTACATATTAAAAAATGGATTTTGGAAGCAAATATCCAAACTAATAAGTAATTAGTCTGAACTAATAAGTTGTTTTTGTTATGGTTTTTTAAAAAATAAAGTGCTGGTGATGTTTGTGTCTCCAATTACAAAATCTCTCTTCCATCCTTCCCTTCTTTGTGGGTCCCTCTTGACTCTCTGTTGATTCTACAATTTCTAACCTGCAAGTAGAATAAAGCAGTTATTGTGTGTGTGTGTGTGTGTGTGTGTGTGTGTGTGTATGTGTGTGTGAGGGGGAGGGGGAGAGAGCGCACGAGAGAGTGCCAGTCTGCTTTTTATTAGCCTGAGAACAAAAAAATAACTTTATAATTTTGGGATGGAGGACTCAGGCAGGTCAGATCATGCATTGCTACAAGAATCAGTCAAAAAGGGAACAGCGTTTTTTTTTTTTTAAAGCAAATGTGTGCCAATGCATTTGTGATGCAGGTATTTCCCTGACATACTTACATTGTCATGCATGGTCTTTATCGTCCTCTCTTTCTCTCTCTCGCACATGCACACCAATTCTTACACCAGTATTAAATGACTTAGAGGATAGACTATCTGGGATGGGATAGCTTAGTGGCAAGCAGGGCCATTTGTGGGTCATTCTTTTTTAAATTTTTAATTATTATGGGTACATAATAGTTGTATGTCTTTATAGGGTACATGTGATGTTTTGATACAGGCAAACAATGTGAATTAATCAAATCAAGGTGATTGGGGTATCCATCACTTCAGGCATTTAACATTTCTTTGTGTTGGGAACATTCCAATTCCACTTGTTTAGTTATTTTAAAGTATACCCCCACTTATTGTTGATTCTAAGAAATAATTCAGACTTCCCAAAAGAAAGTACCTCTTTGGATTTTCCTAAAGCCCCAAATCTTACCTGGTATCTTTCAGGCGTGAAGTCACACGGAGGCATTCTGGGTTTGGTATGAAGACTGAGCTTGGTTACTGATGTCCAGGAAGCACCTACTGAAAGTGAAGTGAGTTAGGATCCTCCACTGACCCTGGCATAGGTCTGTTTGTGAAAATCACCTGTAGTTACCTGAATTAAAATGCTTGGGTGATTTTATTTCTTAGTTTTTAAAAATCATTTTATTAATAAGCTTCGATTCAGATATAAAAACTGAATATCTCAATAACACATTTTATGAAGGGGAAAAAAAAAAAGATAGTTCCTCTTGAATCTAGTCCAGAAAAAAAAATCTACTGCAGTCCCTCACAAGCTTGGGAAGCTCAGTCCAGGTAAATGGCCCATGTTACTCCTGCCATATCGATTCTCTCTTCAGTGGACAAAACTTCTACCAATGCAGTGTGCTGATGGAGTCCATCCTTTTTGCTAATGGAGGTGCTTTCTAGGGTCTGGGCTGCCTAGTGCCTGATCCTCGTGCATAGCCAGTGCCTGTACATGGTTGGCTCTCAACATATATGGAATTAATTTTGCAAGGAATGAGGAGAGATAGGTGTTAGGCAATGTACTGTATTAAAAATACATACAAATAGATCTGGAAGATAAAACCTCCCCCCAAAACAAAGGCAGCCAACACAAGACCATGACAAAGCAGAGAGAGAAGCTGAACCACAATCATTAAACATTTGGTGCTAGGAGGGACCTTAGATTTTTTGGTGTGTGTCAAAATGCTTATTGTATAGATGATGAAATCAGCCCTAAGGTGGTAAATTATTAATAATTTAAGTCACCAAGCTAGTTCTCTGAAGAACAAGAACAAAACTCCAAGTTTCTGACTCCTAACCATCTTTTTCACTCATTCATCTGCCACCTTTTCCCTTCTCTGCCAGCGCAGACTTTGGCCTCTCTATAGCAACGGATTGAATAATGGAATCAGAACGTCAGAGCTGGAAGAGGTCTCCAGAGACCTTCAGAGTACTCTTGGAAAAGAATGCTTCTGGTTTTGAAGATTAAGGTCAACATCAAAATGATTGTACAGGTGGAAGGAACTAAGGAAATGATGTCTCTTATTCAGCATGAAGGGTTGAAGGTGTGAATGAAATGTTGGCGTTCTGTGTGGCTATGAAATCATAGTCCTGAGAAACATAATGATCAATTGTGTTTTTAAATTGGATCATAATGATCAATTCTGTTTTAAAGTTGGAAAGTAACAGCTCTGAATATATCTTCTTTCAAAGAGATCCCATTCATTTTTCTGCTCTAAATTATCACTAATGTCATTAATTTGCTCTTACTTTAAA